CCCCCCCCCCCCAATTAAATTGTCTTGGTGTTAAGTAAGCGTCAAGATTCATTTTACTTAACTTTTACTTTTTTTTTTTAAGCTTACTTATTTTGAGAGAGAGAGAGTGGGGGGCGGATGGGCACAGATAGAGGGAGAGAGAGAGAATCCCATGAAGGCTCCACACTGTCAGTGCAGAGCCCAACACAGGGCTTGAACTTACGAACCATGAGATATGACCTGAGCTGAAACCAAGAGTCGGACGTTTAACCAACTGAGCCACCCAGGCACCCAATCTGTTCTAATTGGAGTGCATAGACCATTTACATTCAGTGTGATTATATCATGTTGGGTTTTTGTTTTTTTTTTAATGTTTCTTTTTCAGAGAGAGAGAGACAGAGCATGAGTGGGGGAGGGGCAGAGAGAGAGGGAGACACAGAATCTGAAGCAGGCTCCGGGCTCCGAGGTGTCAGCACAGAGCCCGACGCAGGGCTCGAACTCACGAACCTCAGGATCATGACCTGAGCCAAAGTCGGACGCCCAACTGACTGAGCCACCCAGGCCCCCCTATATCATGTTGGGTTTAAATCAACATAATGCTGTTTGGTTTCTGTTTGTCTCATCTTTTCTTTGTTCCATTTTTCTTCTTTTTCTGCAACTTCTTTGGGTTGAATATTTTTTATGATTTCTTTTATCTTTTTCGTTGGTTTATCAGTTATAACACTGTGTGTTAATTTGGGGATTGCATTATGGTTACAGTGCACATCTTTAACTTACCGCAGTCTGTCTCCAAGTGACATCGTACCACTAAGGTATCACATAAGAATCTTAGAGCAGTATTCTTCAATTTCTGCCCTGCCCACCTTTGCAGTATCATCGTTTGTACATTTTCCTTCTACCTGCGTTATCAATTCCATGATACGTTGTTATAAATAAACAGTTGATTATCTTTTAAATTGATTTTTTTAATATTTACTTAACTTTTGAGAGACAGAGAGAGAGGGAGAGAGAGAGAGGGAGTGAGCAGGGGAGGGGGAGAAAGAAAAGGGGAGAGAGGGAATCCCAAGATCCCAAACAGACTCTGGGCTGACAGTGCGGCTCAAGGCGGAGCTCAGACTCAGGATGCGTGAGATCATGACCTGAGCAGAAATCAAGAGGCAGACGTTTAACCGTTTAACTGACTGAGCCACCCAGACACCGCTAAATAGATCCAAAGAAGAAAAAAAACCTCTTGCTTACATGGGTGGTTTTATCATTTCCGGTGTCCTTCATTTCTTTGTTTGGGTTTCCTTCTGCTTGAAGGGCTTCCTCTGACATTTCTTCAGGTGTAGATCTGAATTCTCTCAGCTCTTGTGTGTCTGCCAAAGGCTTTATTTCACCTTTGTTTTTAAAAGATCTTTTCACCAAGAATTCTGGGTTAACAGTTTTTTCTTTCACTGACTTAAAGATGTTGCCCCACTTTAAAAATAACTGTAGTAATGACCATAACCTTTTAAAAACTGATCCTCAAGGTTTTTCTCATTATAAATACTCATTGTAGACATTATGAAAACCAGATAGAAAAATTAAAATCTTTATTTACTTATTCATCTTTATTCTGTGAAAATTTTGTTTCTTAAAGTAAAGTTGGAATACATGCTGCTTTGTAACTTCCTGTTTCAGCTTCGTCATGAAACTTAGTTGTGGACATTTTCCATGTCCTTATAAATTCGTAACAGAATCCTGTGTTTACATTTAACATAGATCTTTTTCAGAACTCTAATGCAGCTCCAATTTACATTATGTAAGTTATTTGGCATCTGGACATTCAAGAACCACAGTTTGAGTTAGAAGACCTTTAATGATATCTTGGATAATATCTGAGTCTTCAGGGACATAAAATTGGCCAATAGGGGACAACAGTCGGCAGTCACAATCTTCACTGCCAAACATAAGAAACTCCTAAAAATGAACTGATAGCTCTTTTCTCCCCCCTTCCACTGATTGACGTTGGGGATGCTCATCTTCTGTTGTTATCAGGAATGCTATTGGACACATTGATCATTTTGCACACTTGAGCAGCTGTATCTGTAGGATAAATTCTCCAGTGCAGGACTGCTGGGGCCAAGGAGGCATCTGTGCTTGGATAGTTACGTGGAATTGTGACTGTTGTTGGCACATTTATTTGTCTTCCCACAAGCCTTGTACGGTGCCTGCCTGCCCGTATCTCTGCCCGGGGTGTCACATTTATGGCCAGACTTCAGGGTGACTGCCCATCTGACAGGTGAGAAAATGGATGGATGGCTTTTGTTTTCCGTATCTTCTATCATCATCTTTCTTTTTCTCTCCTGATTTCTGTTTGCTCTGTTTCTTCATTTGCTCTTGAGATGTTGTCCTGTCTCCTTACTTGCCTTACCTGTCTTTAAACTATTACCAAAAATTCCTAGTTCATTGGTTAACTTGAGTAGCTTTCGTGGGTTAGATCCGCTATGTCGGATGTGAGTACATAACAAGATACTCGTGGTCAGGATTAAGATGTATCGAACTAGGGCATAACCAGTTTCCTTGGTTTTTAAGCCCTTTATAATGTTGAAATAGGGGCTCCTGGTTGGCTCAGTTGGTGGAGCACACAACTCTTGATCTCGGGGTCGTGAGTTTGAGCCCCACGTTGGGTCTAGAGATTACTTTAAGAAAAATGTTAAAATAGGGTAAAAGAATGAGTAGTTGGCCCCTTTCACAACAGTGTATTTACCTTGGTGAAGTTCATTAACCTTTAAAGAACATTAAGAAAGGGCCTAGGTGACATTTTAATGCTTCACAGTCTTAACAATTCAGTCTTATATCTGTGTGTGGAATACGCACCCCTACAACACACGCACATCAGCCCACCTGTGCGGGTGGCTCTGCTAGGGTGTGGCAGGTGACAGAGAGCAGAGTGCCTTTTCTGCATTCCAGGCAGTCTTTGAGACAGTTTCCCGTGTTTATGATATTTTGGATTTTCCCCTGCAGTTAGTCTTTATCAGAGTGGTCTGGGGCATGGGGAGCCAGAGAACTTAGATTCTGTTGGAAGGGTTTTTCTCCAGGAACCACCATCCAAGACCGGAGAGACCCCATTACTCATTCACGTGTTCTAAATTTTTTTTTTTTAACGTTTATTTATTATTGAGAGACAGAGAAAGAGCATGAGCATGGGAGGAACAGAGAGAGGAGGAAATGCAGAATCTGAAGCAGGCTCCAGGCCCCAAGCCGTCAGCACAGAACCCGATGCGGGGCTCAAACTCACCAACCGTGAGGTCATGACCTGAGCCCAAGTCAGACGCTCAACTGACTGAGCCACCCAGGCGCCCCTCATTCACATGTTTTAAAGTGGCACACGAGGGGCACCTGGGTGGCTCAGTCAGTTAAGCTCCATCTAAACTCAGATCGCGATCTCACGGTTCATGAGATCAAGCCCCCCATCGGGCTCTGTGCAGACAATAGGGAGCCTGCTTGGAATCCTCTCTCCCTCTCTCTCTGCCTCTACCCCACTTGTGCATGTTCTCCCTCTCTCAAAATAAACTTACAAAAAGCATTTAAAAAAAAAAAGGCACTCAAGTGTCACCGGTGTCACCGGTAATGCGACGTCATCTGCAGACCTCTGCTGTCAGGTGTCTCCTTGGAGCGCCGGTGCAGTGCCGCTTCCGCTTTCGGTCCTCTGACTTCTGTTTTCTGGAACGGAGCCCGTCAGATGAGGTTCTGACCGTCCCTGTCAGGCCTGCGCTGCTAGAAAGTGGAATTAAGTCACCGCTCTGTTCTGTCGCTGTAGTCCTTTGGTTTGTCAGCAACTGCGCCAAACGGCATTTCTCTGCAGGGCTGTCACACGGCCCAGCGTGTGAGTTCCTGGTGTGTGTCTGGGGACTCAGAACCCCCGAGGGATTCGATAGCGTTATCACTACTGGAACAGTAATGACACTCACCCTGTTTCACGCGTGGTTTAACTTACCGTTGCGTCATAACTAAGTTTTGGGCATAAAAACATGTTCTAAAGTTGGATAAGTTGCTGCTTTCGTTTTTACTGGTAGTTTCTTTTTTGTTTGTCTTTGGGAAAGCATAAAAGATTATTTCCCTTGTGATTTTTATGAGCTCAGACCACATTTTCCCCAGTCTGCCATGTCTGCCTGGGGCTTTCTCAGCCCCAGAAGCCTTGCTCGCACACTCCTCCTTCCTGTGGTGGGACATCTCAGGGGAACAGAGACTTGTTTTCTTCGGAGAACACATTTATAGCTTCTTTTGTCTTCAGGGAAAAGCGAAGGGGATTTATTTCACTGAAAATGACTCCATTTTTTCTTGTCTCTCAATCTAATAAAGTTTTGGAAGGTCTGTATTAATTCAGCCGAGAATCGTGAGGTGCTTGTAAGATTGCTAAATCGTTTGATAATTTTCTTCCGTGAGGCATGAGCTTATTTTTGTCTTTCCTCTTCCACATTAATTTTTTGATGGAAAAATACCAATCCTCCCTAGCCTAGGGGGAATTGAGAAAAAGAAAACCAGATCCTACGGCTACTATTGCTATACTTACCAGTCAGGGTAGCTTTGGACTGAGGACAGATAAATGAATTGCTCCCAGGAGCCGAGAATAGAACTCTTATCCTTGATTGCATTAAGCAGGCCGGTTTTTCCCCTCGCACACGAACACTAAATAATTACTGAAATAACCGTTCCCTGCACACCGCGTTCAGAGTTAACGTAAAGATCTCTTTTCTACAAATAGCAGATACCCTTTCAGACTGCAGCAAAGGTGCAGGTTATACGGAACAGCGGTACATTTGAATCTCTTGTACGCTGACCTGGTGAGCACTGGGCTCTCGGGGGTGGTTGCTGTGAGAAGCTGAATGTCTCCTCTTTGAGAAACACGTTGGAGCCCTTTATCACAGCAGATCATATACAACCCGTGGGTCCAGTTGAACATTTTCTCAGGCTTGGAAAAGAGAATCCGGCATGATTCTAGACTCGCGTCTAGACTCAGGCTTGGAAAAGAGCATTAGGCGTACGAGTTCTAAATTCCCCAGAGTGTAGAACCGGGGATGGGGACAGGAGGGGGCTTACTCTCCAGGTAAGGAAAAAAGTTTTAAGCTCACTGCTTTGACTTTTATGCTGGAGACGCAAATTTCATTTCAACAAGCGATTCTTCAGAAAAGTGTCAGATGACTTTGGATAGGGTCCCAAACAGATTCTGCCCGATATTGGTGTCATTTATTGGCTAGAAGGCAGGCACAGAGATGAAGGTCATTTTCACCCCCGTGCCTTTCTCTTGAGTGTACGCTTTTGTGTTTCTCAGCTCTTCGGTGCCATACCCTGCAGCCAAAGCGCCCCACCCAGCGGTGACTCCGGCAGCTGCCAACCCGGCTAAACAGGTGACTTCCTGGTTTTTGCTCTCGTGAACGGCCTTGTGACGTCTGTCTTTGAAGACAGTACTGTTTCAAGTCTGGGCTTTGTTTTAACAAACTAGAAGTCCGACAAAGACCTGTGATCCTTTCCGTAGAATTTATGTCAGTCTTGACACAGTAGGTCAGTCGGGACCTGAGGTTGTCTTTGTAGGCCATTTGACATTCTGCCTCTAGGAATCTTGGGTCACAGTTCCAGTACCTTCACGATAGTTTGGGTGATTTGGGCGTGTGATTTACTTTCATTGAACGTTACCTTCAATAACCCACACGACAACCGTGTGCGGTAGAACGGGGCAGGTGTGTATATGTGTTTCCCTAATGAGAACCTGAGGCACAAGTGACCGGTGCAAGCTCACCTGATTAGGAAATGCTGGAGCCAGAGCTGGAGGCCGGCTCTTGTACCTTCTTCCCTCTGTGGCCTGTACATCGTACCTTTCAGGATCAGTGCTTTGGCGGGGCGGCTTCTCCAGCTCTCTCCCGCAATCCCTGTTTTTCAGAGCTTGCGTACGCAGTGGTATCCCTTACGTCTATGCTTAGGCTTTTGCCTGATGAGCATCGTCTCTTACAAAAATCTTGTAAACAGTTATATAGTAAACAGTTAATCCAGAAGAAAACAATTGGAGACAGCTGGCAGATAGATCAAGCTATCCCTGAAACCTTCCCTGAGAAGACCTGGTTTCTCTGCCACTCTCACCTGTCTCTGAGAGGAGTAATTTCACATTGTGTTTGAGATTGAACCTCACAACTTGCCTCTTGTGAGTTCTCAGCATGGCTCTCTGATTGTTACAATGGCATTTAAGCGTTTAGCATTTGGTCCTTCTTCTGGAGGTTTCTGTGTTGACCTTGGAGAACACAAGGGTAAGCAGAAGTCATAACCAATAAGAGTAAAGGAACATTTGCTGGAGATGGAGAAGTTGAACACTTCCACTTTTTGATTTTATTATACGTGTACTGAGAGCCAGAACCCATTTCATTCATTTCCTTATTCATTACCGGATGTTCCGGTGCCGCCTATGTGCCAGGCACTGTGCTGGATGCTGGGAAAATAGCCACAAGCTAGGTAGGCAAGACTGTATTCTTGGAGCTTGCAGAACATTCCATGCTCTGATAGACTCTTACACACGATAAGCATTTAAACATACTGACTTTGGATTATAAGGCTTTTAAGAATTAAACTAAATGAAAGTGTATGCTTGCTTACTTTTAAATTATGTTCTCATTTTATGTGTTTCTTTATTCTAAAGGATGGTTAATGGTCTCACATGAATGTTCTGCCTGTGTTCTGTTACAGGGATCTCTAATAAATTCCCTAAAGCCGTCGGGGCCCACGCCAGTGTCCGGTCAGTTGTCATCTGGTGATAAAGCCTCAGGTCAGTTTGCGTTTTCATTTTAGTGAAAATCAAGGTGAAAGAAACCCTCCACAAGAGAGTTTAGTATTCTAGATCACAGAGGCCGCTGATGTAGGAAATCAAGTAAAGAGATATTTGGAAGGCTTCAGTCAATGAAGAATGTCCAGGAAATCCGTGAGCCCTTCATCAGCCCTGCAGACTTCTGAAAGTTGAGCGCAGTAGGAGAAAAATCTTCCTTAAAATGCTTTTCCTGAAAAGGAGCAGTTGTGTTGTCTTCACTGGCCTTTTGCCGGATAATCAAAGTTACGGGAGGGGAGTGGAACTCGAGCTGTATTCTTCTACTAAAAGGACTGAAAAGTCCTCTTGGTTCACAGTGGTCATTCAAAGCTTGCAAAATGCAGAAAGGAAAACAGATCTGTGGTAATAGAAAAATTTCAGAGTAGACGATAGTGATGTCAGTGTCCCGATTTTATGGCTTCACACAGTTCCCAGTACCCATTCGAGCTGAGTTATCCTTAGCTCAGATTAGTAGTTTTTACAGTCACCGTCAGTGCTTTGACCAAGGGGTCCACATTGCCCAAACCAATCGAAGCAGAAGAGCTCTCTTGTGTAGATGCTGATGATGTGGGGTCTTTGCAGCATCCCCTTCCCTTGGCCCCTTCTTTACTGCCCCTTTACTTGGCCTGTGTTCCTTTCGGCTTCTGGGGCCTTGTGCCGCCCGCGGTTCTGCGCGTATGCCACTCCCTGGGCTCCGGCTTTTGTTTTCGCTCATGCTCCCAGGTGGGTGTCCGGGCAAATTCCCTTAGAGACCGAGCCGCCCGCTTTCCGAACATCGTCTTCTCCTCGGCTGCACAGTCGTTCTGCCTTTCTCTAGAATCAAAAGCTGGATATTGGGTTCATCTTCAGTAAATAGGCCTTGCACTCGTTAGTGCGTACCCCTCAGTTGTCCAGAATGTGGATTAGTGCAGGACTGGCTGTTACCGGGCGGGCTTTCCAGGGGAGGGAGCCGTGTCTCCCTTCTCGACTGGGATCTGAAGTTTTCAGTTAGAAGAAAATTCCGTGAGGATTATTAAGGATTCAGATTAAGAAGCTGGTTTCCATTTCTGGCTAATGTTTTGGAAAGTTTTGAAAGACCATACATCCCAGCCTCTTCAAGGCCCACCTTAGAGAGCTTTTTGTCCCTCCTGAACTTAAGAACCAAGGAAGTCTAAGAAATTTTGCTTCACCTACGTCTTAAACAGTTAGCGGGACTTGCAAAGATATTTCTGACGTGCATCATTCAGCGGTGATTGTGAAATCCTGTCTTTCATTGCTAGACGTTTACTTGTGTTTTCACATGCTGGATAACCAAAGGAAAAGGACGTCTGAGGGTAGAAAAATCTCCCTGAAGATACTGTCTCCAAGTTTGCAAAATAGTTCTCTTATTAACTAAGAATGGAAGTACCTTTGTTGTCTTTCTGATTATAAAACTACCGTAAATGCACAAAACCATCTGCAGTGAAGAGACCTATAAGGTAGAAAGTGAACGCTGCCTCTTAAATTCGAGTTCCGGAAATAACCACCCTTAATTTAATCTGCGTGTCTGGAAGGTTACTTCAGTGTTGTTTTTCAAACAAAAATAGGTGTATCCTGTATCTGTTGATTTGTAACCTGGTACCTGCCCTCCCCCCATTACAATACATACTCTGTTTGGGGCGCCTGGGTGGCGCAGTCGGTTAAGCGTCCGACTTCAGCCAGGTCACGATCTCACGGTCCGTGAGTTCGAGCCCC